CAAAATTCAATGAGAATTGTGCCCTCGACCTTTGATTTTTATCAGGTGAACCCCTTATCGCTGCGCATGGAGCAACATCAAAGTGGCCAATTTTCTGAAGACACATGATTTTGTGGAGAAAGCTCTGCCCTGATCTGCCTTCGCACCCTCAGCATCAATTGACCCTGGCTCCGACGTATGGCTACAGCGGCGCCTTCTTATTCAACATCAAGGGCGACTTACCGCAATCGAGCGCTTTTCGCCCTCCATCATGACCCATGCCTCGGTGCCTGCAGAAGATCGAAAAATCTGCCCATTTAGGACGCATTGATACGCCTCTCGGTGGGTCTGGAGGATGCCGATTTAATCGATGATATCAAAAATGATTTGTGTGTGGCAGATAAAGTTTGACCCTTAAAGTATTTAAAGATGGGAGTATTTTTTAAATATTTATATGAATTTTTAGTTAAAGATATATGTATATATATTTTAAAATGAATTGATCTTCCATTTAATATTGTATATTATAATAATTAATAATTGATCTTCCATTTATATTGTATGTATATTATAATAATTAATAAACAGGTTTCTAAAATATATAATTTTTTAGCTATTTTGATTTTCTATTATTTGATTAGAAACAATAAAAATAGAAGATATTCTATGACATTCAATCTTCGTTCAACTATTGGTCGATGAGTTATATGAGATTCTAAGTTTACTAATTTATTTATAGTTTAAAAATACTATAAACAATAATAACAAAGGCTTTTAGCATTAGGATTTTTAAAAAATGGATAGTTTATATCATCGGCAAATATTTAAATATATGAAATTGACTAAATTTAAAATCATTAAACATTAACTAACACTAAGAAAAGCAATTGAAGTATTCATGTGAACAGCGATTAATGGCTCACTCACTCGCAACTGGTTCCGAAGAACCGAATTGCCAACCAAGACACTTGCCAGCCCTTCAACAGCTCATTTCATTTAGATATTTACATATATTTGGTCGTGTCGAAGTTCAGAAAAAAAAAGAAGACAAATACTGATTAAAACGCAGAGGCATCCGGGTAAGTTATTTTAAAAAAATCATTAAGAATACTAATATTACTAATTATAAACTGTGTAACAATGCAAAAACGACTTTGCTAGCGTTAAATTAACTGAGCAGCCGAGTGCCTTACGCCACGCGTTTCTTCCAATAAGATTATGAGTGTGTGTGTGTATGTGCAGGTCTGTGACGAAATCTTGAATAAAAGGTTATTTTTTATTTGGCTTTATTCATTTAATTGAGTTCTTCTTGAAATTGCAATTTAAAGCTTAAAAATAATGGTATGAATATAGCGAATAGTTATGTATAAAGCTTGTTGCTGTAAGTTTCTGGAAGCACCCGTGCATAAGCAATCATATTTGTGTCTGGATGTGTGTGTGCATGAATGAGTGTATGTGAATAGCGAAATTGTTTCTCCCCGCCCCCACGAGCTCATTCACTAAATTGCTTAGCAACAGTTAAAAAATAGAAACAGATTTTCACTATTTGGTGAAAATATATTTAAACTATGCTTAATAATAAGCATAAATATGAGCTGTAAATAAGATTTTGAAATTGCTAACTGAAAATTTTGCAATAAAATATGAAATGATCTGTGAGAAGTATTATAGATTTAATAGTTTCGAAAGTTGGTGAAATACATGATGAGATCAATATGTAAACATACTTATTCTATCGGATAGTCTTATTTAATCTGCTATTTATACAATTTTACTATAATTTAAAAAGTGCCGCGCATTGAGAGGCTGCCACCTTATGGATATTTTGCAGAAATGCCACCAAAAGTCTAGCATCTAACAAGTGGCAATTCATGCTTCTAAAAAGTAAAAATTTTATTCAAATTGCAGTATTTAAATACTGCACCGAATGTTTCTCAACACGTACAGTGCTTGAGCAAAAGCAGTTCAGCACGAGTGAGCAACATCGGTTCACTCTTTCCAACAAGTCGATTTCGTAGCAACACGAGTGAGGCAACATTTGAGTGAGTGAGGCAACATGWCCATTGGTTGCCAATGTATGTTTTTCTCCCCTGTTTGATTCCTCAGTTTACGTTTGGAAGCAACAAAGCAAAGTACCGTTTGGACTGTAATTGAGCGTGTGCGTGTGTGATTAAATTTGAATGTGTGTGTGAGATTTTGCATTAAACAAAATTGTGTTATAATTTAAATTTGAATTTAAGTACATGCAAAATCAATTGTTTATTTAAAATAAATTAAGTAAAGTAACGAAGTACACAAAAACAGAATTACGATGTGCAGCTGATGGGAAAAAACCTACCACTCTTAAATTAGTGCGTGGGAAAAATCGATCCACAAACTATTTGCAAAGAATATGAAAAATGTTGGCTTAACCGATAGACTATGACAAAAACAAGTTCACTGTGATACATTTTTGCAGTACAAATTAGTTAACAACAAAACACTTAGTATAGTTTAAAAGAACCAACTTTCAACTATACACCTATTTTTCGAGTGCAATAATACAATTTTCGCCAAGATTCTCAAGTAACTAACTCATCTCGAAACATTCCTGCGCAACATAAAACAACAAAATGGCTCTAAAAACGTAAGCATAACTGTTTTTCAAAAGAAAAATAAATTACAACAATTTCATTGCGTTAAATCACAAAAAGGCCTAGTTTGTGTGTTCCTTGTCAATTGTTTTATTTTTTTTATTTTTATTTTGAGTAAATGTATATACAAATACATAGGTTTGTACATACACATACACAGTTACATTTGAGTATGCATTAACTTTAATGCAGATATGAGAAAAAAATTATAGAAACAATTTACGTGTTTGTTTCAACTCTCAACTCGTCTCCCAGCTGTTCGAGCATAAGTGTATATACATATATGCATGCATGTGTGTGTGTGAGTGGGGTACAGTGGAGCTGCTATTCATAGGTCCATTGTGAGAGAGACAAAGAGAAACTGTGCTGGTATCCGACTAGTACAGTTATCCAAACGATACGCGCAAAATTTATATTAACAATTTAATTATTGTAATACCTTCAATGCATTTTTAGTTAACCTCATATTGTGCGTATTTTGTGTGCAATTGTATTTTTCAAGTCGTTTATTGTTAGCGACGCACTGGGTGAGAGAGATCCAACCAGTGGAAGTGTTTCAATTCCATAGCGTATCGTTCGTTTCACTCTGGCTCTCTCAACATATACACTCGCAGTGCGCAAACAAAGAGTTTATTGTGTGTGTGCGTAATGTTTGTGTTCCCATTTGCGTTTTTGCTTTGTATTCTTACACCAATACCAGTGTATAAGATTTGAATGTATTTGTGCAAGCTCGAAAATTGCGTCAGCCAATTGAAAAATTTATTTATACTTGCGCATATTTACATGCTCCAAAATGTTAGCTAGACTTTTAACTGGATTTTTTTTTCTTTTAACTTAGCATAACTTATAGAAAAATGTTAACTCGGCTGAGTTTTTGGATTTACTTTGCTTATATTGATTTCTGTTTCGCTCTCGCTCTCTCTTTGCTTGATTTCACCTTCAGCGTTTTTTTTTTTTTTTTGTCTTTAAATTGTTGCTTTCTGGGTCATATTTGTTGATTTCAATTAGCTGGTGGCGTCGCAGAAAACATATTTTATGTTATATACTTTATTTTACATATACATTTTCGTTTTTAGTCATGAACAAATAACCTTCGTAAGGGCTCCCACACAAATAATTTGTATCGACCTGAGAGTGTATACGTGTTGTGTTTGTGTGGGAGATGCTTGGCTGTGTGTATCGTTGCTTTCCTTATCCCTTCATTTAACTTTGCCCCTCCTATTGTGTTTTTAACATACTTTTGCTTTGCTCAGTGTCTTTAGCGTCTATTTTGTTGACTTTGAGGCGTTGGCGCGCATTTCGTTTGTTTTTTCATTGTTGCGTCTTTACATCGTTTGATTTGTAGCTTCCTCGGTCATTTACTATGTATGTGTGATTGCTGTTAGATAGAGGCATTGAGCGAGAGCATGAAAGATGCAGAGAGAGAGAGAGAGAGAGAGAGAGAGAGAGAGAGAGAGAGAGTTGCCATCTTGATCTTGACTGCGGTCAGCCGCCCCTTAAATAGTAATTCCGTCTCTGTTAAATAAAAAAAAATTTTCATTTGTATTGCTGCACAGTTATGTATTGTATCCAACATGTATCTTCGGTTACTAATCAAGATATATATATTTTTTGACAATATCTCGTTACTCGCCTGGCAAATTTTTGAAAAAAAAACTTTCGTCGCGACAGTCTTAAGTGAAACTTGAGTCTACAGCCAAAAAAAAAAGTAAATGAAAAAAAAAAAAAAAAAAAATATTGAACAGCTGTTCAATATATCAGGTCCATAAAGTGACGCATATTTATATACATATATAAAAAAAGAAAGCTGACCTTTGCTTCTTATCTATGCAGTACCACTGTGAAGCGTAAATGAGCTCAATAAGCATTTCAGAATGCACTCAACAAATGTTAATTTATAGAGCTCCCAGTTAAAATACGCTTTTCAACCCCTCCATCATATGCACATCCATATATAGGTAATTCAAGTTGCTCGGGCAACAATGAGTGTCAACTCGTGCCAAGCAAAAAAAAAAAAAACGACTTTGTTCCGACCACCCCTTTTTCTATTGTTGCTGCCTGTTAGTTGTATTTTCCTTCTTTTTCATTTTGGATTTTCTATTGATGTCGTTTTTCTAATTCAATTCAAAGGTGCTGAGGCATTCCAGGGCAGCTGCTAGGTTTCGGCCCTGGCAGCTGCTTGCAAATCGTTGCATCGACTTATCGTTCTGAGAATGGAATGGCTGGAACTGAAACTGATACTGGTTCCACTTATTGCAATGAGTCAATTCTGTGGGTGGGCGATAAGATCGAATTGTTTTATCTCATGGAATACTACAAGAATCCCTTCCGAGAGGAAACAATGAGGAATGTTTCTGAACGTCATTTTCAATAACATTCTACGATTTGACCCTAGTTCAATATCCTATCAACTTATCAAGTGTCCAACTGTGCTTTCACTACACATCATTTCAATATATCTGCAATAACCATTTACAATATGCGATAATAATTTATCTTATTGTTACATCCGCTGTACGTTTTCCTATATCTAATGGAATTAGCAACTTAGAGTGTACTGACTACCTGATAAACATATGTACATATGAATATACATCTATGTATTCGAAGCCCACTTATCAGTTACTGTAATTTTTCTTCTTTGTTTCCATTCTCTTTCGGGTACAAAGTGCGGACATTTTTGTCCAGAAAGGGCTTATCTAGACGCGTCCATAGAATACCACTAAATCAATTACCTCTAAAATCGAATACAGTTCGCGATTGTAATGACAATTGCCATGAACAAAAATTCCTGAATGCATTTCTCGTTTGGCTCACCGATAATGAAAACTAATTTAAGGCATTGAAGTCGGGCGATAATAGAAATGCAAATATATGTATTCGTGTATACGTCCGCTCTATTTAAGTGAGTCGAGTCCATTGACAGATTGTCGAGACAGGCCGCAGACATATGCACATCTAATAAAGTACATGCATACGCAGATAGTGAACATAGTTCCGCTGGGATCGAACTAGCGTCAGACAAAGTTCAATGGTTGAACTTGCAAACAGAACACAAAGCTAGACACGTGATTCGGAATCACGAATTTAGTTCAGCTGCACGCAGAGTGATAGAACAATTTTATAGCTAATGAAATTCTGGCTTTCTTATTTGTATAGTTTTTCTCTTTCTGCTTTGCTTATATACAAACGATGCGTACAGCAATTTGAGTACTGGCTAAATAAAAAGTAAAACAAAACTGTTTCCATTCCATTTCATGGTAATGCAATAATTTACCTCGTAGTGCATGCCACAGGACAGCTGCTGCGCCTGCGCCTTGTCAGCGGGCAGCATTTGATGTTTCCGCTTTGTCTGCCACTTCGCACTGTACGCTATAAATATTTACATATGTGTGAGTGTGTGTGTGTGTGTACAGCTGTTTGTTTGGATGTATGCGCTTGGGGTTGAAAACCAAATTTGGACGTCGCGACGTCGTCTATGTGGCTTCCTGGTTGGGCAGCTTTGGCTTTGGTTGGGGTAACGGACACCCTGGTTGACAGCCCTTAACAGTTCAGTGCGCAATTTTGCTTGTTAATTTCATCAAAGTTAAAGTCGCCAGTGGAACGTGTTGGTTATTTTAAGCTCAGCAAAGGGGTTGGTCATTTATTAAAAACGGACGGAATGGTGGCATTAGCACATGTCGCCGATCAAACCAATTCACGCAGGGTGGCAACTCCAACTGTTGTGTACCTTTTTGGCGTCACGTATGACGCGTATCGTCGGCCCTGTATGCAACATGATGCAAGCAGCAGAGCAGAAATTTCCCGAACTACTGTTGTTGCTTGAGTCGAAGTAACTGTTTGCTGTCTGTTTGCTTGCACTCGAAAGCTCTGTAGGTCTCCTTTTTTTTATTTATATTTACGTTTGTACATTTTGACCAGTAGCTCCAAGTGTCTTGTCATTTGTTGACCTTCAGCAGCTTTAAATACGCAGCCCAACATCAATTAGGCGCTGATAAATGAATAAACCGTTCGACAGTGCAAAACGAAAAAGCATAAAAGCAAAAAAAAAAATACTGCTGAATAATAGAGGGCATCTCGCTCGTGCAGGTGTTTTTTTTTTTTTTTTTTTTGAGACTATACACGTCCCCCTCGCACTTGCGTGTGTGCGTCTGCGTTCGCGTTTGTTAATTAAACAGAGTTACAAAACATAAACAGCAAAATAATGGAAAATATTTTGCGATCTTTTAACTAGCCGTTTTGATTTCATGCACTTTAGTTAAGGCAAATACAGAATAGATGAACACAAACACAGAAATAATTTACTTTCGCTTTTAAGCACTTAATGTATGTGGATACACATACATATGTATAAGATCAGCAGAGTCTCTCTCCTTGCTCTGCCTGCCTCTCGCTCTCGCTCACTCTAACTGAGATGATTACCTTTTTCTTTGTTTCTGAGCAGAAACAGTAAATGTTTTTTATATATGTATGTACGTACATATACAAATTCCAATATATTTTCGTATTTCACACCTGAGCAAGCCCAACTCCGACTAGCATTCGTCTTCGTTTTTTCGTTACGAAAATAGGCAAAAAGTGAAATTTTTTTTTATAAACTCGTAAATGTTGGCCAAGTTGTTGGAGTAGTTATTAACAATAACAACAAGTAACTGCAACATCAACAGCGCAGCCTAGGCAAAGCTCATATAAAAATAAAAACAACTACACGCATACACATAAATGCAAACCGATGCGTACACACATACTTATAGCTGTAAACGTGTGTGTGTGTGGGTATGCGTGTGTACGTGCTTTGCGTCAGCGGCACGCGTAATAGATTTTGTTTTTCGTTGACCAAAAGATTAACAACAAAATACACATAGACGAGAAACTAAAATCAAAAACTAAAAAAATAATAATTCGATTTAGAAATTATCGAATCGAATTTGGAAATATGGTATAAACCAATATTAACATATGTATATATGCATGTATGTGTGTAAATAATTATAAAAATATGAGCCTTGAATATGATCAACAGAGAACAAGTCGTCTCTCTCACTCGCACTCATTTGTGAGACGGCAGGGAGGCCAGCCCAATCCAAATAAGCTGTCAGCAATACACACATACAGCTCGCATAAGATGACAGACAGCTCAAGCTTTATTTTTGTATCTGCTGTCTCTTTCGCACTGTTCCGCATTGCATGCAGCTTTATGCCCATCAGAGCGTCAAGCTGAACTTTGACTTCGTGCCGTTAGTTTGTTGCTATTGTAGCTTTGGGGCTCATTGCAGGGCTGCACCGTCATGTTTATGACTATCGAAAACTTGTTTTTTAGCTGGGCGACCTTGAATTGAAGCACTTGTTAATCCATAGCGAATGGGTTTATTATTGTGTTTTGTGAACGGAAGTAAAAAAGAGCGTGAGTTGTATGTTTTCGTCAGCTGGTGATGTTTTTATATTATTATTTTTGTTTATAAATTCTGCAAGTGCGTCAGATATGTGGATATTGGGCCCTCACCAGTTTAGTTGGTCTGATTCACATTTGAAATATGATTAAGGTGCGGTCAGTTTCTTAGGGAAAAGTTCAGTCATATGGATCATCGCATTCTACATTTTATATTGTATACCTGATTCACTGGCGTTTTGAAACGAGTTTAAAACAATTCGAACTTGAATTATTACTCATTGGGGTATTTTTAACTCAGTTATGCTTAGCCTTCAGAAAACGGGGTCTTAAACTGCTAGCCAGGTTAATGACAACTGTTTTGAAACACATTGTTCACACTTGTGATCGGGTTTTCATTTTTAATTTCGTTTTTTTGTTTGCGTCCGGGCTGTATGTTTACAATTAAAATTTCCCTTTCAACTATAAATACCAAAAAGTTTTTCTTGGCACCATTTCCCGCTGCTACTTACAATATTTCATACATCAATTGCTGCTGCTTCAGCAGCAATGGCAGCTATTTTCCCAATGCCATAAACATTTATCTCACACTTTCAAGTGGCTCCGCTCCACTCGTATGCACAGCTTCAAATTTCGAAACTATGTTTGTTAGTTTTTATGTCATTTATCATTTGCTTCTGTGTTTGGATTATTTAATGTTTTGTTTACGATTCCTCCATGTCAATTGCTAGCCCATGAGCATTAGAGAAAGCTTGTCCAGCCCTGGCACATTTGCTGTTATCTCTCAATCCCAGTGTATCCGATTCTGTGTGTTGCTCTTATGCGTGTGCGTGTGTGTGTCGATTTAATATTATTAGCTGTAAGGCGAACGCTGAATTGGAACAAGATGGCGGCCACTTTGTTTACTCAAGTGTGCGCAGTGAGCTTTTGTATTGAGTTCTTTGTTTTCGTTTTCTTCATTTGCAATCGGAAATCAATCAATGTTGAGGACTCAGGGAAGTCAATATATTTTTGTCTCGAATTCTTAGACATTCTGCATAAATATGTGATATTTCCCAGACTATTTATATGTGATTTGCCTTGAGACAGCGATCACACCCAACCCGCCCCACTTGCAGCCTTGTTAAGTTGTGTGATTTGAATAAAAATGTAAGCAATTTGACGTGAGGTCAGGTAAGCATATATAAAATATATTCCAATGTCAAACTTGCTGGCACACTGTGCACTCGACTTCTATGCTCAGTTTATAACGCTCAAAGTTCGTTCAACGCATTGTAAACAATTTAATATATTGTATATAAACAAAAAATGAAACGCAACAAGAGCAATGCTCTTTGACAAAATAACAATAATAATAATATTGCAATTCATTTCAATTTGACATTAATGAACTTCATTTGACATCTAGCATATACACAGTAAAAAATATATATATTTTATTATTTAAATTTTTATTAATTTATTTGACCTAACAATTAATAAATATGCTTGCATAATTTTGCAGCGTGTAAGTTTTTATATATTTTAGCTAAAAGAGAATTTTCCGAAAGAAATTCAAAGCATCTAAAAATCAGTTCCACTACGAACTGAATACACTGTAAACAATTTCAGCATCTAGCGTTTATTATCGTACCAAGCATTGAGCGAACACATAATAAACCACATTGATGCTAAAATTATATAATTTATATATTTATATATTATTTAATTAAATATTGTTTCACAAAAGAAGATAAAGACAATTTGTACGCATTGACTGACTGAAAGACAAAAAATCTAGATTGTCTTTCGTTATTGTCATTTGTACACTAAACACAATTGTCACGCTATATACATATGATATATTTGTTTCAATATATGTATATATTGCATTGTTGAGGGCGTTTTGTTTGTTAACTGTTTGCAAATTGTTGAAAGAATTGCATTAAGGTTTTTGTTCGGCTATTAACAGAGCTATCAATATATATACATATAATCTATATATATATTTGGATTTCGGCTCTGGGCTACTTGAACCGGTGTGTGCAGCACAAGTAGCAAACAGTTTATTTTATTTTCGGTTGCATTCGCGCTACCAGTGGATTATTATAATATAGTTGCTATATAAAGAGGATATAGATATCTATATAATCCCTGAAGCGCTGCATTTTTAGTCTTGAATTTCGAGCTGCAGATTGAGAGAGCATCTAGTATTTTCTAAGTGCACTCGTTGATATACTGCAAAAAATATATATATTTGAATTTGGCTTGAAATTCAATTTTGTGGGCTTTTTGCTGAAAATAAAATCGTATCAAACAAGTTGATCAAGGGACACATTTATATATATAAACCATAAATATATTTGGCCTTAACGCAAAGAGATTTTTGTATCTTTTTGCTGTTTTATTATACAAAACAACAACAACAACAAAAACAAACCTTGCCATATACAGGTACTAGGCCAGCCCTCACAATGTCTGTCCCTGTACGCTACTCTGCTGCCGCCGAATACGCCGTCGTTGATAGTGGTTTGGATAATACTCTAACCCAAGAAGAGCAATACCACCAACAACAACAGCAACTGCACCTGCACCAGCAACAGCTCGAGCACCAGCAACTGCAATACGCGCAATACCAACAGCAGCAACAGCAGGAGGAAGAGGAGGCTCTATTGTATTGCCAATTGCAGCAACAGCTGGAGGCAGAGCAGCAGGCGCTGGCGTTGCGGCAGCAGCAGGAGCAGTTGATGCAGCAGCGGTCATCGATGTTGATGTCCTCAACGGTTATGCCATCACTTGATTTGCCCCACAACAACAACCACAACATCACCAACAATAATAGCAACCACAACATCAACAACGCCAACAACAACAACATGGATGCAATMAGCATCAATGCTATCCTGGTCGATGATGAACAACCATCCACATCGGCTCAGGCAGCGGCGGCTATTTTGAGGGGCGAATCAATCAATGGTGGTGGCATAAACTTGGTGGATCATAATGCAGAGATGCCAACTGATTGGATGAGGATTGCGGAAGAGGGCCGGTATGGGACACCGGGTGCTGCTGGCTTGGAATATCARAAGTACGAACAACAACAACAACAGCAAACACTGGAAACAGAAGCAGCAGCTGGACAAGGAGCTGGAGCTGGAGCAGGAGCAGCAGAGCCAACAGCGCTCAAAAAACTAGAGGATCAATTACATGCGCTCAGCTCAGATGAGCTGTACGAGACGCTGAAGGAGTACGATGTACTGCAGGATAAATACCATACAGTACTGTTGCTTCCCAAGGAGTCGAGGGTATGTTGATAACAATATAGATACGATTATCTGACTTTGAATCAATGACTATCCGAGTGACTGACTGATTGACTGGGAAGTCTGATTGATTGCATGATAAGCATTGACTGAACTCTTTTGGAATGAATTAAATTATTTAACTGACTAACAGACGAATTATATTTGTCTGCATTGCCAATCTAATCGTATATAGCATATATGGAACATCATTTATATATTGACATCCTATTATATCAATATCTATATTTATCATTCTCTATATTTACAGCGTGAGGTGACTGCCGGCGGACGTGATGGATCGGCGTATGTGCTGCGTTGCTTGAAGATGTGGTACGAGCTGCCATCGGATGTGCTGTTCTCGGCGATGAGCCTGGTGGATCGTTTTCTCGATCGCATGGCTGTCAAGCCGAAGCATATGGCCTGCATGAGCGTTGCCTCCTTCCATTTGGCCATTAAGCAGCTAGACTTGAAGCCCATACCTGCCGACGATTTGGTTACAATATCTCAGGTATGTCACAAATTCACACACATTAGGGTAAATGCCAGTGTCTAACATTTTAAATTGTTACAGTGTGGTTGTACCGCTGGCGATCTGGAACGCATGGCCGGGGTCATTGCCAACAAACTGGGCGTACAGATGGGGCATGCCCCGATCACATCCGTTAGCTACCTGCGCATCTATTACGCACTCTTCCGCAATTTGGCTAAGCAAATTGGTGGGGATTTCTTTAAATTCTATCAGCAACTCATTAAATTGGAGGAACTGGAGAATCGCTTGGAGATCTTACTGTGCGATGTCAAGACGACCGTGATAACGCCAGCGACATTGGCTCTAGTGCTCATCTGCCTGCATCTGGATTTCCACATTAAGGAGTCGTACACACGCGGCAGTCCCGAACTGAAGCATGTCTTTGAGTACATACTCTATCTGCAGGAGTACATGAGGGTATGTTTGATAAAGATGAGGAATAAGAATATGGAAAGTTATAATGCATATATATACATCTATTTCAGATACCCGATCGCGTTTTTACCTGCGGCTTTAGCATTGTCTCGGGCATTCTGTCTCATTACAATGGACAGAATAAGGCGCCCTACAAGCAGCGGCTTGTCTGGAAATTATCCAGTCGCACGCTGCGCGTCCTGCGCCCGATCAATCGTTTCTCATCCGATTTGCCCACCATTGAGGAGGGCATATCGAATGCTCTAGACGATGGCCTGCGTTCAAGGTAAGTGAAATCCGTAGATATAGATCTTTATATAATCAATATCATAGTATGTATATAGAAAGTTTTGATATGTAAAAGAGCCCAATTAGGCAGGGGTTTTAGTTTTTCTAGAACATTTCTGCTTCTGTCTAGCTGAAAAGGTCCGTTAGTTATTTTTAGCACTATTATTGTGTAGTCTTTGGACTAATTTGTATGTAAGCGAACGAGTATGTGCTGAGTTGTGTTTTTTGTTTTTGGTTTTTCGCGTAAACAAGTTTTTAGAATTGACGCGATTTTATTATCACAACAACAAGCACCAAACACCAGCAAAACAACAAACAACAACAATACGCATAGAAAATATAAAAATCATGAGACCCATTGGCTGGTTTTGCCTGCCCCCTCTGCCCCCTGTCCATGCCCATGCTCAACTTGTCGCATTTGCCAAAAGTGGTTCGACGAGCAGCAGCAGCAGCAACACCTACAGCTAGACAGCCAGTCATACATATGTATGCATAAATGTCCATATAGATGTGCACACATATACATACATACGCATATAGTTATATGACGGTGTGTGCGCCTGTTATTTTTTCGACAACAATCTTATCAGAGAGGCACGCCAACCAGGCGCGTGTGAGCGAGAAAAAGTACGAGGGTTGCTGTTAAAATTTACTGAAAGTTGTGAAATTCGCCACACATATCTAGAATTCGCTTTGTGAGTGTGGAATTCGCCGCGATGTGCGTCAATTGTTGGGCGACACGATGTGGGCGTCAGACCATCGATTTCTTTCGCCTTATTACATAAGTTTCTTTATACCATTTGAAGACCTTGACATTTCATGCGCTAAGTGCAGCATATTGAACATATTGAAAATGACAGCTACTATAGAATATAAATTTAATAATTTTTATTATTTTTAAAATTATTTCATTTATGACACATTCAAAAACTAATTCAATATGAATATTACTGAATTATAAATATTAAAAAGCTTAAACTTTGTTGATATTCAATATATACATAACATTAATTTATATTTTTGCAAAAAAAAAATCGTATGTACTTGACATTGAGACCTTCAAACTGTTATATTCCGAAAAAAAATCTATATATATATTTTGTGTATATTTGTTTTTTGTTTTTTTTTTTTTTTTTTTGGCAAGAGTATTAAAAATTCATTTCAATGCTTAAACTTTGTTGGTTTTTTTTTTTTAGCTTTTTAATTTGTGGGCCTTCAACTGTGTTGTTTTCTTATCTGACGAGGTGTTTTTATACATATACAATTATATATACCTTTGTTCCGTTTAGTCATAAGCATTTTGAGTTCAATGCACTATTTGACTTTCGCACTGCGTCGAAACAACTGATTGCACTTGCGCAAAGGCTTAAATCAGCTGATCAGCTGATATATAAAAAATGACCTTCAACTTGAGTTGGCAAAGTTTAGCGATAAAAAACAATGCTATAATTTCTTTTCTCGACTGCTAATTGCTTTAAGTATACTACCTTTCATTTTAATCAAATAACAATGCCTTTCTTCGTTTTTTTGTTTTTTTTTCTTGTAGAACCGAGAGTATTAGCTCCGAGGAGGAGGAGGACTGGCCAACTTCACCCATTATTCCAATTTTCGAACAATGTTAGTAGCACCTACTTACCCCCAGCAGCAGCAGCRAATTTGAGCAGCAACGAAGCAAACAACAAACAGCACCCAAAAGTCAACGAACAACGGACAAGTTTTGGGTAGCCGGATGGAAGCAGCAGCAGGCAGGCAGGCAGGAATCATCCATGCAACACAGYAGCAGCAGCAACAGGTGCCACACATTTGTGGCAGCAGTGGAAAAGACATATCTACAGCTACAACAACAACAACTGAGTAACTGCTCCACAAGTTTGTGAGCCTCTATTGTGTGTGCTTGTGTGTTAGCAATGGGTGTGCGTGTGTATATAATGCTAAAAGAGAAACAATGATGCATCATAATTTGTTTAGCATACGCACGTATATATATATATATATATACAACATCTATATATATATGTATGTGCGTATATATATATATAATTTACGCTGGTTCTACCATTTAAGAAACTATTGAAAAATGCGAGAGGTCAGCCAAAAGCCAGGCACAGGACACGGCACGAATATATAATTTTTCGATTTAATTTTGCGGCAAGACAGAAAAAAGTAACAAAAAAAAAAACAAAAGCAAAAAAAATCCAAAAAAATATACATAAATATAGAAATGATGCGGACCATCATACAAAAGATTGATGTTGTTCCGGACCAATTGAGATCGATGAAGGAAAACGATTTAAATGATAACTGATTATGAAACATGCTTACGGAATGGAACATTAATTTTTTGTGAAAAAAAAAAAAAACAAAAAACAAAAAAATAACGAAGAAAAAAAGTATCTATCAACCCAATTTCAAATAAGTTTAACGTAACTTTTTGTTATCCATGTTTGTTTTGTAAAACACTTAAAAAAAAACCACTGGACCCTTAAAAAAAGAAAACGAGAAAAAAATCAACAAAAAATCTAAAAAAGTACAAAAAATCATTAAATATAGACGACTATTAAAATATAAGTTAAATGTTCAAACTTTACCCCTAAAATCAAACATAAAATTTGGTCGCGCTGAAGATTCAAGCAAAACTATGACTAAGCAAAACGTAATACAGATATATAAAATAACCCCAATATGTAGTTCAGTGTGTAGTCGATCATTTTTCTGCTCTATAAATATATATATATATATCATAATATATCAAAATATTTGAATAATCCAACTTCCCTACAACTC